TTGATTTATATTAAAATAAGTTATAGAGTTGTTTATAAATATCGAGTTCGAACACAACTTGCTATCACATGATTCTTTCTAATAAATAAGTTAAGATAATGCAAAAATCAGAATCTTATGAACAGATATGATGATACAAAAAAGTTTGACTAAATATAGAAATATTTAATGACAATGAATTTATTCAAATTGTCAAAATTGTAATGACTTCATTTAATAAATTGCATAATGCTCTAATTTAGTAAGTATAAAATAGCACAAACAATTATAATTTTTACTATTATTACTAATTCGTGAATTAGGGTCGCAATAAATAATTGCACTAATATATATCCTTATATCAAGAGTGTGCAAAATAGATTTTCTCGCCCTCATTTGTTTCCAGTAATCCCTTATCGATCCGGCGTTGCTCGCATTCCGACAAATACTTAATCGAATTGTTGTATAGAGGAGAAGTCGCCTCCAGTTATGAATAATAATGACGATATAGAATGCAAACAGCGCAGTTGTGTCCATCCGATACAGTTTTCAAATTATAACTTTGTTAACAATACGAATATCCGTCCTCTAACATATATTTTTGAATGCAAATGCGTATTTCAAACGTAACGCGCCAATACGTGATTTCTATATGTGTCCTATATCATAAATAAAACTGTATATTTTGTATTGTTGTGTAAATTCATATTAAATAATTAACATGAGGAGTTGGGATAATTGTGGTGTTTGTGACAAAACTAAACTTTTCGTTATACGTTCAACTTTCGCTAAAAGTTTAAAGGAAAGCTGTAGGTTAGAGGTGAACAATCACATTTGAAACACATGTCGTTTATATAGTAAGACTATATAATAACTGATTAGAGCAACTAGAAATTTAGTGACAATACGTAATAAACAAGAAAAACTAGAGCAACATAATGAATGTAGAAATGACTTTAATAGCATATTTTTCGAAGTTCAGTAATATTATGTTTTTATAAAAAAACACTCAGAGTGGGGTAGTCTGGGTACGGTTGTACCACTTGTTTTGACCAGCAAAAGTTTTGTTAATTTAATAGTTAGCTGGGTGAATAATAAATTAAATGGTAATTTGGGCATTTGTCTACTTAATTAAATCTTACATAAAAAGGGCGAGTATCGGTCAGACATAAACATAAGTTAAAATACAATAGCTATAAACACCATAATGATCTATAACGATTTTTATTGTCGTTACCTATGTCAAAATCAGTATAGTTTAGCTGTTATGACGACTGTCACTACCGTACCCAGTCTCCCCTACTCTGATATATAGTATGTAAATTTTTTATCGTCATTTGTTAGGACTGGTGTTCATTCTTCTTTTTATGCTAAAACTAAAAGTGTTTTCGTGTTTTTCATGCTTTCAACGTCCGATTTTTAAGTCGGGATTAAAAGATACTTTTACACTGTGACCTGGCACAGGTAGGTCGGAAATAATTGAGTTTTAAATATATATATGTTGCCGCTTATCATTTTAATAATTTAACAACAAATTGCGTTAAGAATTATATTCTGATAATCGACAAAAGAGTTTAAAGCACAATATATTAGCACATAATATATGCATATATTGAATTGAACCATTTCAATCTATAACAAAATTATATATCGATAGAAATTATTGATGAATAATTAAAAAGACGTAATTCAATTGTTTCGATTTAAAAAGCTATATTACAATATATATATAATGGTTGCAACATAATTAACCATAATTAAAAGCCCGACTTAAATAAAAAATGTTATGAACATGGCACATAGAACAGTATGAGAAAAGTATTAATTTTCATATTTGATTATTTATATTTTGATTTATATAAAAAATTACTTGAAAAATTTTTATCCAATAGTGCAGAATTCTGTAATCACAATGTGTCTCGAAATAGTAGTTAAAAACTGAATTTGAATACTTGATGATACTCAAATGCCCTCATATTTAAAAAATAAGTATATATATATATATATATATATATATATATATATATATATATTCAGGTACGAAAATTCTATTAAAAACAAAGTTTAAAATACAAGGTTGTATATTATATAAACGATGCAAGCTATCAGAATATTAATTTAATAAACTGATTATGTTAATAAGGGTTCTAATTTGGTTACCACTTAATTTCCAATAAACGATAAACAGTATTTTATAATTAAGCTGTTTAAGATTGAAACAATTTAAAAAAAAATAGTAAAAGTTTAATTTTAACTCTATAACGACTTGAGATTAAATTAAAAAAAAAAACAATTAATAAAATGTATTGCATATTAGATTATATAGTATCGTTTTGTTAAATATACATATATTTAGTTAGAATAAATAAATATTAAAAACAATGTTTAAAATACAAGGTTGTAATATACACGATCGAAACTAACGTGACATTAATTTAAAAAACTATTAATTGGTTTTCAATTTGGTTCCAGTTTTTTTTCTTTTCACTTCCAATATAAGAGATCTACAATACGCAATAATTGAAATATCATAATTGATCAACAATTGAAACAACTAAAAAAATTGGCAAATTGAAAATTCTATGTGGCAAATTGGAGACTCTTAACGGCAAATTGAGCTCTATGATGAGATGAGATTATACGAAAAATTTGTTGATCCTATCAATTAGATATACGCATTTGTCCTTTAAAATCGTGATTTATTCTCATAATCTAGTCTATTATGAATAATCAATGTTTTCTATCTGAGAGTACCAAATAGTTAAAATACTTCATGAATACCTAAAAAAATGTAAAAGAATGTTAGAAAACACCGAATCGAAATTTAACAGTGGCTTTGTTGTAGTTCTGTGTTGAAAATAAATCAATTTACATCCTCAATCACAAACTGTTGGGAACATGATTGTTTTCTAGTATGGACACGTCAGACACGTGCTTGTGTTATAATTATATTTTCCCTCGGTTCATTTGCGCACCTTATTTTGTGGCGGCCCTTTGGGTGTGGTGCGTATAAAGTCTACGTTTGTTGTTTGACCCGAAAACCTCGTTGATTGCGTGTATTAATCACGGAACGATCTAGAACTAATTTCCTCTCACAAATCGCCGTCGGCGCTCGACCTGACGACAAGCGCGATCGAAACGTCATCAAGATGTCAGAAAACCCAACGAAAGAAAAAATGTTCGGAAAAGCAATTACTTTACTAACATATACCTACAAGTAGGTACTCTTCACCTCACCTGTTGGCTGAACGTGGTGACCGAAAGTCAATATGTATTATATTTCTAAGATTATTTTCTATACATATTCGTACATATATTAGGGTGGTCCTTGATATGGATATTTTAGATTTTTTTGCTCCCAGGGGCACAAATGCTTCCAAGTTGATAAAAGAAAATTCTTTGAAAGTTTCAAGTCTTAATATTAACTTTAAGTCAATGCGCACTCCAAACAAAGTTCCTTGGTTCTACCTCCTAAGCAAATACTTATTTTATAAAATAAGTAACTTTTGTTGTAATTTTTTTTATTTATGATTAAATTATGCAAATACAATGTTGGTCTCAAAATTTGGATCCACTTGTAAGGTATAAAATTCTAAAAAACAAATAGAATTTTACCTACGTTGTTTCCATAAGAAACTTTGTTTGAAGTGCGGACTAAATTAGTGTTAATATTAAGAGCTTAAACTTTCAGAGAATTTTTTTTATCGATTTGGAAGCATTTGAGCCCCAAAAGTAAAGAAATTCAAAAATATCCATATTAAAGTCCACTCGAAAATACTGTCTAACACATAACTATATAAGTTTCATCATCAGCTTTTTTCTGCCAAATACAAAACCTTTTGTAGCTACATTACTTAATAATAATTTGGTAAGAGCAATGATTTTTAGATTATTTACTTTATTCAGTGATTCGAAACCGGGGGGGCAATTTGGAAATTCAGGGGAACAGTGTGAAAATTTAGAAATAGACTTAAAATAACACAACGTGAAGACTTGAGTTTAAAGCTCAGTAAGTTATGAACCCGCATTAAATATATTATATTGCATTAAATAGATTTCGAAAAAACAGTAATAAAATTAGTTTGTTTGGCTTATTCCAAAACTTTACATGAGATGTTCAATAACAATTTAATAGTGATTTCATCCTAAAAGTTATCATTCCCATTTTTTCAGAAACAAAAAAAAATGTATAGGGAGAGCATAAAGTTTTTAAAAACCTCAAGGTGAAGCGGGTCCCAAAAAAGATTGGGAATCACTGCTTTATGTGAAAATACATATTTTTCTAAAAATTTAATAAACATTATTCATCTGCAGTTTTATTCATGATATTTCATTTTTTACATAGACCTGATTAAGGAGCATACCCAGTTCCAAAACGTCGTGACAAAACATTACAAAAAATTTTATTGTATTTTTGAATAATTGTTTAGAAAAGAAATATAAAAGTATTTGTATATGTTATGTGTTTCAATTATGATTTTCATTTTGTTGAACTGTAATTGGTATGAAATATTGGTGACCCAATTGAATTAATTTTTTAATAAATAAACAATATATATATATATATATATATATATATATATATATATCTTAGTAAACAATTGCACACATCGGAATTTTTATACTTCAGTCTTATAAATCTTCTACATTTGAAATTAGGAAATAAAATTATTCTTAAATATTCTTCTATACGTGCTATTGATAGCAGAATATTCAACATAAACCAACATGTGTTCAATTGTTATCAAATTTAAATGATATAGATATCTGATTTCTTTCTGAACGTTTAGTTGATTCTAAAATCATTATCAACCCAAAAACATGATTAAGTCGATCCTAATCATTCTCACACACATTTATTTCAACTACATACAGCTGTACAATACAAGTCGAAATATTGTCTCTACCAAAATAAAACTCAAATATTGACTTAATTGTAAAACAAACAACGTACATGCCTATTATTTATTTAACGACAAGAATTCCGTCTAAAATTATAAATAAATATAACTTCTTCTTACCTTTCGCTGGCGATGGAGCTGTTTCGGGACATGCTCTTTGGCGACATTTCGAAGTCCGAATCGCTGCGGTAAAGAAAGCTCTCTCTGCGCTGCGGCAGCGCCTGCAGCACGAGTCCGGCGCTGGGAGAGCCGCCGCCCTCGAGCGGACTGCGCGCACCGACCGCACCATTTTCCACATCGAAACTGAAAAAAAAAATTTAAAATTAATATTTTTTTCATTTCTAGTTTGTTGTAAATTTTATAAGCTATATTTCATCAATCAACAAAAAAATATTACCACTGGGTACTCTATATTTCTGTCCTAACTTTATACATATTAGTCATAATGATTACTATAATTTTTGTTATATGAATAACAAATCATAATTACGTCATGAGATTAATAAAAATATATCATACATTCTGAAAAAAATTGTTTCATGAACATTGTCAGAATTACACATTGAAATATAAACAGTTAAGAGTGACTAAACACAGAATCTGATAACCAAAACATATTGAGACTATTAATTATTTTGCAGAACGTGTAGTAAACATGAACTTACAGTTTATTTATTGTTTTTTTTTTTTAATAGCTATCGGAACTTAAATGTTCTATAAGTTGTGGTGATTTTGACTCAACTACACTTCAAAATTATACTCAGGTATCGTAAACACTGCTCAAAACCAAAAATGGACGTTTGTCTGAAAGAATGGTTACAAGCCATATATACTTTACTTTAAATAGTATAGTTAAGAAATACCATACTTTACTGGTTTAGATAATGCTGGTAGACCTATTTCCCAAAGACCTTCAAGCCCCGCTCTACCCTAAATTAATGTATATTTTGCGTTGTATTTAGGTATATATTCCCAGTATAGTAAGCACACTAAATTTTAAATTACAAAAAACGTCAAAATGTATTGTATGTATTGCATTAAAAGAATATCGTACAATATTGTACAAAATATGAATTTCAAATAAAGTTTCCATTGTTAGAGAACTTCAATAACTGCAAATTAATTAAAGCTTTCATTAATCGATTACGATATTTCAAAGGTGTATGAATACAATCCAAAAATATAATTATCCGAAATTCCAGGTACGAATGTTTCATCGTACAATGCACTACAAGCATAATTAATAATGTAATGTTTAATAAATCGGTTTCAGTTATGTCAACCCCAACAGTTGCCTTATCTATGTATGATTATTTTTATCATTACTATTCTCTAATAATGATGTTTTTTAAATGCAGTAATGCCGAGTAAACGCTATTTTCACTTTAAAACATATTGCTATCTATATTTCCAAGTAAAAACCGTCACTACTACTTGATATCAGGCTGCCCGAGGCATTGAACTTGGGACCTCTAAATAGATTCCCATATATCCAATTACTAATTCAAGAGAGAATTAGAATTATTGAATCTTAGTAGAAATATACTAGCGGAAAATGCAATTAATTTTTGTAAAGGTATGTAAAAGATCATACTTCGATGACTCACATTGGTAAGTTATAATTTATCTTTTGTAACTCTTATATATGTTATGCATTTGTTGCGAATTCTTATCACAATTATTGATTCGTCATTAAGTTGTTATTGATAGAAGATTCTATATATTTATCACCTATTACACGTGTTACCAGACGGAGTTTAGTTTTAGAAGTTAAAAATAATAATTATAAATTATAAAAAAAATAATAATAAATAAAAAAAATAAGTCCAATCCCACTCTGTGCCACAAAAGCTCAATACCACGAAACCAAAGGTTCCTGTACAAAAGCTCAATACCATGAAGATGGCTGTCTTCATGGCCAAACCAAAAGATGAAAATACGTCCAAACAGTATTATTTGGTGTGTTATTGAAATATTCAACTATAAATAAATGAGTAATATATATCTTAAATCTTTTTTGAAGAAATTGTGAACAAACAACTCACAACATTTACACAATACAACAAACTCACACATTTTTAATTTATATCGATATTCTACACTCTGTTTTGTATGCAATAAAAAATATGAGTATCAGCTAGTTTATTTGGTTTTTAGTAATTAAACTTTTAATTAAATTAAACAATATCCAAATTACATAATTAAGTTTTTTTATTAGTCCATAGTTATGCACGCCAAGCTATAATGAACAAATACCTCAGATAAAGTATTTAAAATACGTTATGTGAATTACTATTGAGAGTACAAATTGAAATATAAATAGTTCAGAGTCTGAATACAACCTCATAGATTAGTTATTAATTAACAAAAAATTTTAAACCAATTTATGGTATCTTTGTGAAAGTAACAGTTGACAAAATCTATCGGTTATTTCTGGAAACTTGTTATAACGGTATGTTGGCTGAAAATGCCGGTTGCAAAATGTGATAAGCAGAAAAGTGAACCAGGAGAAGAAATACCGATTTCAACCTTTTGAACCCGCCTGTAGCGCAGTTCGTCCGCAGATGCCACTAGCTTTAGAGTACGATTTATGAAAATATAGAGAAAATGATTTTCCATTTCCATATTTGAAATTGTAGTGCAAATCCTAATCATTTTTGGCACATGAAATAGATAAAATTTGCCTAAAACGCGTTCAAGAACAAATATGATTAGAACATCAAAGAATTCTATTATAATAGTAATTGTAAGGTCCAAAAGGTCTACCACTGACATTTCAAAAACAAGTAAGGTTAAGAATTTTTTAACAACAATATTTGAAAGCAGAGAAAAAAATATGTATGACTATCAATCCCCTTGATTCTTACGCCGTCTCTGTTGGGAGATAAACGGCAGTGTTTGAAAATCCATAAGAAAAGAATTTTCTTTCGTTGTTAGTTTTTTTTATTGTGAGCACTGTTGTTTAGTTTACGAAAACTTAATATAAATTTTAAGTATACGTTATTTAATTGTTTCATAATATGTACTGTAAACTTTTAGTTAAATTCAACAGATTTTTATATAACCTCTATAAAACCTCTATAAAAGCTTACACGTGGGTGGGGTAAAAAGGTAAAGGTAAACAATAAAAAATAGTAAATTAACTTAAAAAGGCAATTTTGAAAGAGGCAAATTAAATAAATAGTTATTCCAATACTGATGACAAAATGCCATATCAAAGTTATATGCAGTCTCTATGAAAATGTACCCATAAAATTTGTGTTTTGCATTGGTTTAATATTGTAGCTACTATTTCGTAAAATACCTTTGAAATTGAAAATTAAACATTGTACCCCTAGCCGTCCCATTTCACCCTGTCTATGAGGTAAAAAGAACAACCAGTCACCAGACGACAAATTTTTGAAAAACAGACACATTTCTACAATGATGACTTTTAGCTGGGAATTTTACTGAACATAGTCAGATAGTTGTTGAAATGTGTTAATTATTATGATAGAATTAGTTTGATTTTCACAATATAATAGCTCAAAGTCAAATTGGACCTTTGTGCCACGCCTAACCCTATCTATTATTCTTAGTTCAATAAATATAGGGTTCACGTTTAAACAGTAACGATTCTATCCATTGCAACTTTCATCTATTTAAATTAAACTTTATTTTCTGATTGAAAATAATGTTATCAATTTTTAAATTATAAGTGATATTAGCTAATTATTTAATATTATTATATTTTCGCATTTCAACGAATACAATTATATTTATGGTTCCAAAGTCAGAAATGTATGTAGACTGTTCAATATTTATTTTGTAGAGAATGTAAATTGTAAAGAAAAATATTGTCCATGCAACAATTCTTACCTTCGCAATTTTATATTTTATTTTTCTTACATTTTCTTAAATACCTTTTTCGAATTCATTGATTTATTTTTTCCATTTACGGGTGTCTACGTGTATAAGGCATCCCTAATAATATAAGTGAGTGAAAGGGTTCGACCGACACCATACACAATTTTTTGCAAGAAACATTGTATAGATTTTGATTTCTATTAAGAAAGTTCAGCCACCACATAATAATGAATAAATTAATAACACAATATAGTATTCACTTTAATCAGTATAAATAAAAATTGCTCACGAATAAAATAAAACCCGAACCGTTTCCAATGATAATTTTCTATTTACCATAAATTTAAATACGACTCGAATGATTTATAAATAGACAATTCACACTTCTCTTAAATGCTTCACAGACACATTAAAATATGTTATTATAAATGATATAATGAAAGAAGGTGATTATTTTATGAAACTGTTCTGTAATTACCCAAGTATTCGCACGCAAAACAGTATTAAAATAAATGACATTTAAAGACATTAATTAGGCTTAATTCTATTTACAAATATTACCGCTTTTTAAACGTATTCTAACTATGAGCAAATATTGTGTTGTTGATATCAGTGAAGGTTAGTTTCATTCATACAATAACGTTTCAGACGAAACCGGTGCATGAATTCAATTTTCATACAATTGTTATAGGTGTAATAATACTGAATAGATACTCTATGGGTATAAATTGCTATATAAATTTACTGTGATATATATATATATATATATATATATATATCATATCTGAATATATAAATCTGTAATATACAGATATTTGAATAATTTGTATGGTTACATTTATGAAATTCTGTATAGAATAATCTGCACATGAAAGACCAACTGTTAGTGAATACAATTAAATCATAAAATATTATAAATAAAAGGGCTAAAAAATAAATATTTCAGCGCATTTTTGTTTGAGTACGTATTTTACATTCATGAAACTGTAAAAAGTATGAAAGATATAATATAAATATTATAGTAATTGGGATTGGTAAAAATTCACTTTAATTCATTCATATATATTTTAATAGTATTTCTTATGCATATATATATTTGCTGTCGTATTTTTTATGATCTTCAATAGATTCCAAAACTAGGTAAAGTATTTATTTCTATTTTTTACCATTTCACTCGTACAAACTTCTTCTGTACAAAGTCAAGTTAAAACCAATTTGGACGTACGGAATACGGCTTTGGGAAACGGCACGCAAGTACAACATCGCCATGATTCAAAGATTTCAAAACAAGATTTTGACAGAAATTATAAACGCACCCAAGTATGTCCCAAATTGGTTGGTTCATACAGATTTGAACATAAACACAGTTAAGGAAAAAAATGAAAAGTTCAGTCTGAGATACAAGGATAGAATACAGAACCACCCAAATATCATGGCCAAAAACTTAATAAAAAACC